AGGTCGAAGAAGAGATTTGGACTATGTACTTTGACGGAGCATCAAACCAATACGGGTATGGGATAGGGGTGTTGCTGATAGCGCCCGACAATTCCCGCATGCCTCTAGCTTTCAAACTCTAGTTTAAAGTATCGAACAATGATAGGCATCCCTTTGGGAGTCCGGATACGTCCGATCTTTATTGAACAGAGGTATGTGTCGGCCTACGATCTGGTTGCTGCCATAGATGAAGTACAAGATCAGAACCCTTGGTATCACGACATTTGAAACTTCTTGGAAAAGGAGGCTTATACACAAGGGGCAAATGCCAAAGATAAAAGGGCGTTGCAGTGAATGGCTGCTCAGTTTATCATCTGCGGGGGTAAATTGTACAAACGGGGCCGTCTAGGAATGCATAAACTGTGTGTTGATGAAGAAGAGTCAAAGCGCCTAATGGAGGCCATACACAAAGAAGAATGTGGTTCGCATATGAGCGGAGTGATGCTAGCTCGGAAGATTCTTAGACAAGGTTATTACTGGTCAACCATGGAGGATGATTGTATTGGTTTTGCTTGGCGATGCCACAAATGCCAAATCCATGCAAATCGCATGAACATCCCGCCGTCGAAGCTGTACAACATGACTTCACCATGGCCATTTTCAGTCTGGGGAATTGATGTCATTGGGGAAGTTACTCCGAAGGGGTCAAACAGGCATAAGTATATCTTGGTGGCAATAGACTACTTTACAAAGTGGGTCGAGTCTCAATCCTACGCAGTGTTGAAAGCGTCGCATGTAGCCAAGTTCATCTGGAATAAAATCATCTATCGTTATGGGGTTCCGAATGAAATCATCTCAGACAATGGTTCCTACTTCAAGATGGAAGTGATCGATTTGTTGGAAAAATACAACGTGGCTTTTCATAAGTCATCTACATATCGGCCGCAAACCAACAGAGCTGTTGAGGCTGCCAACATGAACATCAAGCACATTCTACAGAAGATGGTGGAAACGTACAGGGACTGGCCATATAAGCTGCCATTTGATCTTTGGGGCTATAGACCATCAATTCAGACTTCTACTGGGGCAACTCCGTATTCTCTAGTTTATGGGATGGAAGTTGTTCTGCCGATTGAAGTTGAGGTTCTGTCGCTGAAGGTTATGGATGAGTGCCAAATAGCAGAAGCAGATTGGCAGTAGAGCAGGTTCGAGGAACTTATGTTGTTCAATGAGAGGAGACTGAAAGCACTGTACCACATCCAAGGTTATCAACGCAGGATTGCCAAGGCTTTTAACAAGAAAGTTAAGTCCAGGAATCTAAAAGAAGGGGATTTGGTGCTTAAAGACAACCGAGCTCCCATCCATGACCCTAGGGGCAAGTTCAGACCCAATTAGATTGCTCCTTACATCATCAAATCAATTTGATCGGGTGGAGCTGTCATTCTTATGGACCAAGATGGCCTTGAATTCTCCTAACCAATCAGCATGGACAAGTTGAAGAAATATTACCCCAATGAGGCTCGCTAGGCCGAAAACCAGAAGGGTGAGCTAGGCAAAAGTTAGAGCACAAAATATTTCAAATACGAAAAACTAAGCTCGCAAGGTTGAAAACCCAGAAAGGGCAGCCTTGGCAAAAGTTAGAGCGTAAAAGAAGAGTGTTAACACCCGAGTGAACCCGAACCGAACTACATAAGGGTTGATTCCCATCTTTGGGATACGTAGGCAACTTCATTCTGAAGTCCAGCCATAAACACTTCCAAATCAGCTGTGTCCATTTAATTGTTTTGGTCATCATTGTCCCTTCTGTATTCAAGAGTTCGATTGTGATCTCCAGCGCAGTGCTATTCAGACAATGGGAAACTTTCCAGTTGTTTGATTTGGGGTTGTACATCTCAGTGATAGATCTCAGGTGTGTCCAGTTGTGATCCATTTGAAAACGATTTTGAAAAGTTTTAATAAAAGTTGATTTTGTTCAAATTAATCTTTTTACAACTTAGACCATTTTTTTGGACCAAAAGGAAAATTTTCAATACTCACAACCTTCAATTTCATTGATTTCAATACAGAGTTCCTGTAATAACCCGACCCTCGCATATGTTTCTGGTATATTGTTAGTTCCTTATTCTGTGCATTTCAATGCCTAATGTAAAATGTCATGAGAAATTAAGTTTAAACCTATGGATCTTATGATTTGAAACCTATATCTGTTTGGTAAGGAAAGCATCTGTTACAATTAAAACGTTTGAATCAGAAATTGAGAGCCTTAGAGGCATAATAATCTGAAATTGACTGTATATCTGAGATCAGTATAATTCTTAAGTAATAATAAGCATTTTTGTAGAAATTTGATTTGGGATGATTAAACTGTTTAAGTTTTGTTTTATTCACTATATATATATATATATGTTCTTTTAAATGGTTGGCTTAGAACTGTACAAAATATCCTGAGAGAGAGAGAAGAGAAGAAATTGAGAGGAGGAGGTCTCAAGCTAGGAATTTGGGGAAATCTCGAAGATTGTAGGGTTCAGAATTCCAGGTACGTGAATTTTATTTGAATTAATTGATAATCATGCAAGCTAGGCTGTGTGTTGGTTAAATTGAAAGAAGTTTTATCATGGAATTGATTTGGGGTTAAGTTAGGTTATAGGGATGAAGGAGGGGGGGGGGGTAGAAGCTTATTCTATCTTTTATCATTCTATTCCTTACCTTTACATATTTGAACTCATTTTTAGCTTGAAGGATTGTGTATATATTTGGTTTTGGCTTTGAAGGATTGTGCATATATTTGGTTATTATCTAGAAGGGATTCAAAGTGTCCAACTTGTGTTTATGAATTGTGGGGAATTGAAGAATCAATTCATGTTGAAGTGGATACATGCTTGAAATGTCTTTATACATAAATTTTGAACCATGTTACATCAACTAAGAGCCTTATTTCAAGCCTTGGAAAAACTTACCAAAAGATGGATTTTGTGGGAAATCCGGACTGGAAATTGAAGCAAATCGCCGCACGTGCAGGGATCATGGTCGCACATGCGGAGAATGATGAATTTTGAGGTTTTGGCTACTGTCTAAAAGGCACGTGCGGGGACTTTTGCGGCACGTACGGGGCTCACAGCCGCACGTGCGGCCCATGCTGAAAAGTACGTGTTGCTCCGTTCTACGTGTTTAACCCTCTAATATTGTTAAAATCTGTATTCGATGCCTTTTTGATATTTGTAAATTTGTTCCAACCAAAGCGAGTCTGGGAATGATTAACAAAGAACAAGGATTGATTTGTGACTTGTATATTTGTGTAGGGCATACTCCGGAAGGAACCAGTGTCCCGCCGTGACACTGTGAGTAATAGTGCAATAAATGTACATTTATTTACCGTTAATGCCTATTGCTATTAACGTTCTGTTTTCCGCAAGTTACTACGTTAACATGTATGTTGGTTGGGAATAGGTGTGAATGTAAACGTTGAGGGAATTTGTGCACATCTGGATCACTCTGGAACTATTCCCTTATGTTATTTCTGGGCTGATGGCCGTTATGTTATTTCTGGGCTGCTGGCCGTTACATTATTTCTGGGCTGATGGTCGTTCTACTATTTCTCGGTCGATGGCCGTTCTGATATATCTAGGCCCAAGGCCGTTCTGAAAATAACACAGCATCAGATTAACCATGTGAACTCTCCAGTTACATATGCATTGTTATGTATTATAATTTAAGTTTTGCATTGTTTAAGTACCATTGCTCACTGAACTTAGCTCACTCTGTATTTTGTCTGATTCTGTAGGTAATCAACCGGGAGGTCAGTCCTAACCCTGATACCATTCTCCCTTTTGCCAACCTAAGTATAACCAGGCACTTGGAGAAGCACGTGCATTTTAGTGAAGGTTGGTTGGACTTTTTGTTTGTACGCTAATTGCCGACTAAAGTTGAAACGTAAATGATGTTTTATTTGTACGCCCAATCTTAGGGCTGGGTCTGTATATGTGTATGTGTATAACCAATGCTCAGGTGCATGTTTCTGTATATTATTTGCCTATTATGATGTTTGTGATCCTGGCATAGTAGTGGTAGCTCAATGGAGGTTGTTTTCTATTATTTTATGATATTTAATGCTTCTGTTCAGGCCCCGTATGTTATATATATCAAGTTAAATGTCCATTTCTGAATGGGTCATGCCCAAACTTTTAGGGGCGGATTTGGGGTGTGACGAGTGGTATCAGAGCACGAGTTGCTATCTCACACACGGATCCATTAAGCTTTAGGATGTCTAGAAAGATTTAGGCATCATGCATAACGGATATGGAAGATCGATAGCAACGTTAAATGTATTCCGCTAACGTTAATGATTATGAACCACGCCTATTGTATATCTTTTGTATATGTTGTAATTGATTGTCTTGTAGAGTATGGTGAGAACAATGACAGAGGACCCGGAAGATGCTACCTCTGCACTGTTGGACAGAATGGAAAGAATGATTATGGAAATGGCAGAAACCTTAGGGCAACAACAAGAGCTGCAACAACCACAACCACCGGTACCTCCACCTGTAGTGCAAGATTTCCATGCCGAGGACCTAACCATTACACTCACAAAGGAGTTTAAAAAGATGAAACCGCCATAATTTAAAGGAGGAATTGAACCCATGAAAGATGAGGCATGGGTATTAGGAATAGAAAAATTGTTCGAAGTTTTACCTTGTACTGAAACCCAAAAGGTGCAACTGGCTGCCTTCACTCTCGAAGACGAAGCGCGGAGGTGGTGGATGCTTACGAGAATTATGCACCAGGGGTTAACATGGGACAGATTCCTGGAGCTGTTTTATGATAAGTACTTTCCTCAAAGTGTGCGAGACAAAAAGGTGACTGAATTTGAAACTCTTAGACAAGGAAATAAGACCGTTGCAGAATACGAAGCTCAATTTGCAGAATTAGCCCGGTTTGCACCTCATGTGGTGGATATAGATTATAAGAAGACATGAAAATTTGAAGGGGGATTACGGGGTGCTATCCTAGACCGAGTTAACATGTTGAAGTTACCCACCTATGTTGATGTGTTGGAGAGGGCTATTATAGCAGAGGGAAACCTTGCTGCTCAGAATCGGATTTCTGAGTGGAAAGGGAAGAGGCAAAACGATCAATTGTTCAAGGGGTTAGCTACTCCACCAAACAAGAAGCAAAATTCAGGGACCTCCAGCACAACCACTTTTACTCAAGATTCAGCCCCTGTGTGTTTAGAATGTGGAAGGAGGCACCGTGGAGTTTGTCACCGACTGTCTGGAGCATGTTTCCGATATGGCAAAACGAGTCATCTGATAAGGGATTGTCCTCAAGGAAATCAACAAAATAACAAGAAAGTTGTTATAAGTTCAGTAGGGTCTGCACCAACTTCCAACACCAAGTCGGTTGTAAAACCTCCTAACAACAAAGACACTGCGAGGCAAGGTAGGGTATTTGCATTGGTTCCGGGGGATGTGCAGAATGCTGCGACAGTAGTCTCAGGTACATTTGTGGTTCACGGTTATTCTGCTCATGTATTGTTTGATTCTGGCTCTACCCATTCTTTTGTGTCAAAATTATTTGCACAAAATTTAGATAAATCTGAGGAAAATTTGTCATATATGTTATGTGTGTCTTCACCTTTGGGAGACTCTATGATCTGTGCTTCTGTATATTTTGCTTGTGAACTCCAACTTGGGGATATCCGAGTATATGCCAATCTGTTACCTCTTGATTTGACCTATTTTGACATTATTCTGGGCATGGACTGCCTGAGGGAATATGGTGCAACTATAGACTGTCTGAACAAGCAAATCAGTCTCCACCCTCCGGGAAAACCATAATCTATTTTTCAGAGACATGGCGTAACCTCTCCACCTTATTTCATTTCTGCAGCAAAGGCTTGTAAATTGATTCAGAAAGGGTGCCAGGGGTATTTATGCAGCATTTTGAAGGGACAGGTGATGAATGAGAGTATTGACCAGATTTCAGTTGTCTGGGAATTTCCGGATGTCTTTCCGGAAGAATTACCGGGGGAGTTAATGGACCGTGAAATTGAGTTTACAATTGAAGTGGCTCCGGGAACTCAACCCATTTCTAAGACTCCGTATCGAATGTCACCAGCTGAGATGAAGGAATTGAAGACTCAGTTGCAAGGTCTTCTGGATAAGGGGTTCATTCGCCCAAGTATCTCCCCATGTGGTGCACCAGTTCTGTTTGTAAAGAAGAAAGACAGAACACTCCAATTATGTATCGACTACAGGGAACTCAACAAGGTAACAATCAAGAATAAGTACCCACTGTTGCGGATCGATGATTTGTTTGACCAGCTACGAGGGGCACAAGTCTTCTCGAAAATTGATTTATGGTCTGGATACCACCAACTGAAGGTTAAAGCTGATGATGTTGAGAAGACAGCTTTTCGGACTCGATACGACCGTTATGAATTTCTGGTTATGCCCTTTGGAGTCACTAACGCACCAGCAGCATTTATGGATCCGATGAACCGTGTCTTTAAGCCTTATCTGGACGAGTTTGTGGTGGTCTTTATTGATGATATCCTCATTTACTCAGAGAATGTGGAAGCTCACGAGAACCATATTCGCTTAATTCTTCAAACCCTCGGAGAAAAGAAACTGTATGCAAAGCTGAAGAAATGTGAATTCTGGCTACAAGAGGTAGCATTTCTGGGGCATGTTATAACAAAGGATGGAGTCTCTGTAGATCCACACAAAATTGAGGCGATCGTGAATTGGCCAACTCTTACCAATGTGACTGAGGTACGTAGTTTTATGGGATTAGCCGGTTATTACAGGAGGTTTCTTCAAGATTTTTCCAAAATTGCTTTGCCACTTACACAATTGACCCAAACGGCAGTTGCGTTTGAATGGTCAGAAAAGCGGGAATCTACCTTTCAAGAATTGAAAACAAAGTTGACTATAGCACCAGTTCTGGGCTTACAATCCGGTACTGAAGGGTTTGTAATCTACAGTGATGCTTCGCATAAAGGGCTTGGTTGTGTACTTATGCAAAGTGAAAGAGGTATTGCTTATGCCTCTCGACAGTTAAAACCCCATGAGAAGAATTATCCCACACACGATCTTGAGCTAGCAGCAGTAGTTTTTGCTTTAAAGACATGGCGACATTATCTGTATGGTACTACTTGTGAAGTTTATACTGATCACAAAAGTCTCAAGTACCTTTTTACTCAGAAAGAGTTGAATATGCGACAACGACGCTGGTTAAAGCTGATTAAAGACTATGATTTACAGATTCATTACCATCCTGGTAAAGCCAACACAGTTGCAGATGCGCTTAGTCGGAAAAATATGGGAGAATTGGCAAATCTATTTACGAAGGAAAAGGAGTTGGTGATTGAATTATATAAAATGAATGTGGATCTTGTGGTACGTGGACAGGAGGCCGTAATAGCAACGATGATGGCTCAACCAGCCTTACTTGAAGAGATCAAGCTACATCAAATGGAAGATGAAACTCTACGGAAAGTATGTGATGAGTTAGAGACAAAACCAAAACCGGGGTTCAGTTTAATGGATTCGGTGCTCAAATTTCAAAACAGAGTATGTGTCCCTAATGTGTTGGAACTTAAGCGAAAACTATTAGAAGAAGCACATGCCTCGAGATTTTCAATGCATCCGGGAAGTACTAAAATGTACCGGGATTTGAAACAAAATTTTTGGTGGCCAAGTATGAAAAAAGAGATCATAGAGTTCATTTTCTAAATGTCTACAATGTCAGAAAGTAAAGGCAGAGCATCAGAGACCAGTAGGACTATTGCAACCCCTTCCAATCCCGGAATGGAAGTGGGAACATTTGACCATGGATTTTGTTGTGGGGTTACCACGGACTCCTCGGGGTATGAATTCTATATGGGTTATCGTAGATTGATTAACTAAGTCCGCTCACTTCCTACCAGTGAAGACTCAATATAATGCAGATAAACTTGCGGTAATTTATGTGAATGAAATCGTAAGGCTTCATGGTGTTCCGCTCTCAATTGTGTCGGATAGGAATCCCAAGTTTGTTTTGCGGTTCTGGCAAAGTCTGCAGGAAGCTATGGGTACAGAATTAAATTTCAACACAACTTTCCACTCTCAGACCGACGGTCAATCCGAGAGAACAATACAGACTCTAGAGGATATGCTCCGAATGTGTGTACTGGATTTTCAAGAAAGTTGGGAAACCCATCTACCGTCAGTAGAGTTTGCGTATAATAATAGTTACCATTCGAGTATTGAAATGGCACCCTACGAGGCTTTGTATGGAAGACTGTGTCGTTCTCCCGTGTGTTGGGCCGAGATCGGAGATAGATCATTGCTTGGGCCCGAAATTGTACAGTTGACGACTAAAAAGGTTAAAATTATTCGGGAGAGATTGAAAACTGCTCAAAGTAGGCAAAAGAGTTATGCAGATAACCGGCGAAGGAATTTAGAGTTTGAAGTGGATAGTCATCTGTTCGTGAAAGTTACCCCAATGAAAGGGCATATGAGATTCGGGGAAATGGGTAAGTTAACACCCCGATATGTTGGTCCCTTTCAAATTTTGGAAAGAGTAGGTCCGGTAGCTTACCGAGTTGCCCTTCCACGTCTCTATGCTTCGAGGATACCTTTCGGATCCGTCTCATATCATTGATCACCACCAAATTGTTTTGGATGATAAGTTAGCATATGAAGAAAGGCCAATCCGAATTCTAGACCGACAAGTGAAACAGTTACGCAATCAAGAAATCCAGATGGTCAAGGTTGAATGGCAAGAACATTATGGAACCGAAGCAACTTGGGAAAAAGAAGAGGATATACAACACCAATATCCACATTTGTTCCTATCTTGAGGTAAAACAAGTTTGAGGGACCAAACTTATTTAAGGGGGGGAGAGTGTAATAACCCGACCCTCGCATATGTTTCTGGTATATTGTTAGTTCCTTATTTTGTGCATTTAAATGCCTAATGTAAAATGTCATGAGAAATTAAGTTTAAACCTATGGATCTTATGATTTGAAACCTATATCTGTTTGGTAAGGAAAGCATCTGTTACAATTAAAACGTTTGAATTAGAAATTGAGAACCTTATAGGCTTAATAATCTGAAATCGACTGTATATCTGAGATCAGTATAATTTTTAAGTAATAATAAGCATTTTTGTAGAAATTTGATTTGGGATGATTAAACTGTTTAAGTTTTGTTTTATTCACTATATATATATATATATATGTTCTTTTAAATGGTTGGCTTAGAACTCTACAAAATATCCTAAGAGAGAGAGAAGAGAAGAAATTAAGAGGAGGAGTTCTCAAGCTAGGAATTTGGGGAAATCTAGAAGATTGTAGGGTTCGGAACTCCAGGTACGTGAATTTTATTTGAATTAATTGATAATCATGCAAGCTAGGCTGTGTGTTGGTTAAATTGGAAGAAGTGTTATCATGGAATTGATTTGGGGTTAAGTTAGGTTATGGGGGGGGGGGGGGTAGAAGCTTATTCTATCTTTTATCATTCTATTCCTTACCTTTACATATTTGAACTCATTTTTGGCTTGAAGGATTGTGTATATATTTGGTTTTGGCTTTGAAGGATTGTGTATATATTTGGTGATTATCTAGAAGGGATTCAAAGTGTCCAACTTGTGTTTATGAATTGTGGGGAATTAAAGAATCAATTCATGTTGAAGTGGATACATGCTTGAAATTTCTTTATACATAAATTTGGAACCATGTTACATCAACTAAGAGCCTTATTTCAAGCCTTGGAAAAACTTACCAAAAGATGGATTTTGTGGGAAATTCGGACTGGAAATTGAAGCAAATCGCCGCACGTGCGGGAGTCATTGCCGCATGTGCGGGAACCCTTGCCACACGTGCGGGGGTCATGGCCGCACGTGCGGAGAATGATGAATTTTGAGGTTTTGGCTATTGTCTAAAAGGCACGTGCGGGGAATCACTACCGCACGCGCGAGGACTTTTGTCGCACGTGTAGGGCTCACAGCCGCACGTGCGGCCCATGCTGAAAAGTACGAGTTGCTCTGTTTTATGCGTTTAACCCTCTAATATTGTTAAAATCAGTATTCGATGCCTTTTTGATATCTATAAATTTATTCGAACCAAAGCGAGTCTGGGAATGATTAACAAAGAACAAGGATTGATTTGTGACATGTATATGTGTGTAGGGCATACTCTGGAAGGAACCAGCGTCCCGCCGCGACACTGTGAGTAATAGTGCAATAAATGTACATTTACTTACCGTTAATGCCTATTGCTATTATTGTTCTGTTTTCCGCAAGTTACTACGTTAACATGTATGTTGGTTGGGAATAGGTGTGAATGTAAACGTTAAGGGAATTTGTGCACATCTGGATCACTCTGGAACTATTCCCTTATGTTATTTCTGGGCTGATGGGCGTTCTGTTATTTCTAGGCCGATGGTTGTTCTGTTATTTCTGGGCCGGTGGCCGTTCTGTTATTTCTGGGCGAATGGTTGTTCTGTTATTTCTGGGCCGATGGCCGTTCTGATATATCTGGGCCCAAGGCCGCTCTGAAAATAACACAGCATCAGATTAACCATGTGAACGCTCCAGTTACATACACATTATTATGTATTATGATTTAAGTTGTGCATTGTTTATGTACCATTGCTCACTGAACTTAGCTAACTCTGTATTTTGTCTGATTCTGTGGGTAATCAACCGGGAGGTCAGTCCTAACCCCGATACCATTCTCCCTTTTGTCAACCTAAGTATAAGCAGGCACTTGGAGAAGCACGTGCATTTTAGTGAGGCTTGGTTGGACTTTTGGTTTGTACGCTAATTGCCGACTAAAGTTGAAATGTAAAT